GGAATTCCCTACACCAGTGAAATCACAGGTTAGTTTAAAAAAAATTAAATAAAAACCAACCCCATGCCTGTAGAGTGCTCTGCATTCCATGGGCAATTAGTCAATTTTTGTTATCTAAGGAAGTCCCTAAATGGAGGCAGACACCTACAGCAAATGATTCAGATTAAGAAATTTACCTATAAACTGAACCCCTGTCAGCAGCAGTGAGAATTAGAATTCATAACCCTTGAGTTTCCAGCCCAGTACATTGACAACTACATTATCTTGGATTCATGGGATCAAACATTTAAAGCTAGAAGGGACTTTCAAGGCCACTGAGTCCAACCCCTTCATTTTAAAGATAAGGAAACTGAGGTTCAGAAAAGATTATAAAATAACACAGGTATTAAGTGACTGGGGCAGAATTTGAACTCAGATCTTCCTGACTCCAGGCCGAGTGAACTTATTCCCTTCACCTTAAAAAAAAAAAAAAGACTATGAAACTAACATTGGAAACAAGTATAAAGTATTTCTCTGTGGTATACACACACACACACAAACCTGCCTCCTCTCCCATGCTGGTGACTAGTGGATGTATTCTATTCAATTCAATTCAATATACATTGGTTTAGTAGAAAGGGCAAAGAATATGGTGTCAGAGGGTACTGGGTTCTGATGCTGGCCTTGCTACTAAGCTATACATGTGACCTTGGAGATGTCATTTAAACTCTCTGTGATTCAGTGTCCTCATCTATAATGTGAAGAGATTGAACTAGATGACCACTTGGGTATCTAACTCTATGATCTTATAAATCTAAATCTATGATCTTATAATCCAATTAAGCCCTTACTACTTGCAAAGTTATATGCTAGGTGGCAGGAATAAAAAAGAAAAGAAAAGAAAGAAAGAAAGAAAGAAAGAAAGAAAGAAAGAAAGAAAGAAAGAAAGAAAGAAAGAAAGAATCCCTATCCTCAAAGAATTTATATTCTACTCAGAGGAATACAACATGCCCACAAAAATATATATATAATACCAAAAAAATGAAGAGGGAGAGTAAAAACCAGAGTAGGACATCATACAAACACATCCTAGAAGGGAGAAGGGAAAGATACTGAAAAGAAGCTAGTATGAGAGGTAAGCCTTCAATAAAAGTAAGGAAGCGGAGAGAGTCCAGACATAGTTGTGCATAGAGCCCATCCCCACCCAAGCACACCCCTGGGGGGAGAGGAAGGGCCAATGATAATGAGTCCCCTTCCAGGGTGTGTCACTACACCTGGGCACACCCAGTCCACAATAGATACTCACCAGTTTCTAGGCATATGGAACAGCTTGAGAATTGGGAATGTTCACTAGGGATGGAGAAACAAGGTTGGGGAACATCTAGCTGTCTGTATTGACTGGAACAATGTTTTTGAAGAAGAAAATGGAACCAAAGTCTGGAAAGGTGGGTTAGAGTCAGATTACACAAGGCCCTACATGCTAGGCTAAGGAGTTTACATTCTGCAGTTCTGATGGTACTACTGATAGGACATGTGCCTGCTTGAGACTATAAAAGAATAATTTGTCAATGGCTTTTGACAAGGCAGTCTGGTACAGCAGAAATAGCACTGGAGTAGGAGTTGAGAAACCTGGATTCCAGTTTTAACTGAGCCAGTAAGCTGACATGTAACTTTGAGCAAGTCATTTAACTTCTGAGACCTGGTTTACAAATCTGTAAAAGGGGCATCTGCTTTGCCAGATAGATACATAGATAGATAGGTAGACAGACAGACAGATACAGACCTATTGTGATACGGATCAAATGAGATGGCAGATAAGAATAAACTTTGAAACATAAAATGCAATAGAGGCTGCTAGATGACATAGTGGATAGAGCACTAAGCCTGGAGTGAGGAAGACCTGATTTCAAACCCAGCGTCAGACTAGCTGTGTGACCCTGATCAAGTCACTCAACCTCTGCCTGTCTCAGTTTCCTCATCTGTAAAATGGGGATAATAATAGCCCCTACCTCCCAGGGTTGTTGTGAGAATCAAATGAGATAATAATTGTAGAGCACTTAGCACAGTGCCTGGCACACAGTAATTGCTATATAAATGATAAGGAAAAGGAGATGACAAACCACTCCAGTAACCTTGCCAAGAAAACCTCTTGGAGAGTATGGTCCATGGGATCAAGAAGAGTCAGACATGACTGAACAACAATAACCTCCCAGAGTTGTTGTGATTATCAAATGAGATAATATTTATAATGTAGTAGGCACATAGTTGGTGCTTAATAAATGCTTATTTCTTTCCTTCTAGTGCACAATTGCAAGTTATGATTATTATTACAACACATCATAGAGTCTCTCTAGACAACTATTTGCCTGGACACGCAGAAGTATGGTTCCATCAGGACCCATTCGAGAATTTTTCTCCCAATCCACAACTGTTGTTCAGACCTGAGAGTTTTCCCACCTACTTTACTTTCCTTCCCTGCCAATTATTAACAAGGCAGCTGCTGCCTGCCCTGACTTACAGACTGGGAATTAAATGTCCCATATTCATGGATCTGCCAAGTTACACATTCCCCCTTAAGCAGCATGCAGATTTCAAACTGTCCTTCACATTCCTGCCGGCAAGTGAAGACATGTAAATCATTAGCTTCCCTTATTTCAAAGCAAATGATTTTAACTGAAAAGATCTCTACCTAGGATTCTCCTCCACTTGTTATGTTTTTATGCATAACTTCTTATCTACTCTTGATTATGCTAGAATAGGGTTATGAATATTAATAGCTAGAATTTATAATTTAGTACTGTGCCTTTCCTGCTGATTAATTCAAGGACATTTTATTTCTTAAGAAGCTTGGCTCCTGGAGCAGTCAAACACATTTCTTGGACACCTCATTTAAACTTGGAATATTTATCTACCAATTCGAGTTGAAAGCAGGGTCTCATCCTCACAATAATTTTATTTTAAAGGATAACTATGTTTGAAATTGAGGCAGTTGAGCTTAAAATTGCCAGGAAAACTTATTTTGAATCTTGCAGTAAAACCACAAGGTGGTCATAAATTAATAGTTGGATAAAATGGTAATACAAAATGTAAGCACCTTATTGCTGAGTCTTCACTGATGATGTATATGGAAGTCTTTTCTAATTGGCTTTTAAACTTGGCCAAGACAGTGGGAGATGCCAAAATCGGCACTCTCTGTCACTTTACATCAGTCAACTTCAAATTATCTTTTGCCTTATTCCCTTTTGGATTTCTTCCTTCTATCCCTCCTATGCTCAGCTAGTCAGAGAAGAGTATGTCATCCCTGAAGCACAGTGTAGAGCAGTCATGAGGCTAAGAAGGTTCCTTTGGTCAATGGGGCAAAGCTGTGGTCCAAATTCCCTGGGCAGTGTTCTCTTAGTTCCTCCAAGAGTTTAGTTTATCTGGTCTAATGCACCAATGCTTCCACCGAGGCAATTTATGGCTAGAAACCAATACTCAGAGAAAAAGGGGAAGTGCAAGAAATGTAGTGAAGAGAAAAGAAATGGCATGGAGAAGGAAAAAGAAGGGATAGAAAGAGGAAGACTAACTTTGGAGTAAAGGAAGGGAAGCAAGAATAAAAGAGAATAAAGAAGGGACACAAAGACAAAATGGAAAAGAAAAGGGAAAGAGAAAGTAGAAAGAAAAGAAAAAGAGGAGAAATTAAGGAGGGAGGAAAAGGAAAAAAGAAAGGCTGGAGAAAAGACAAAGGGAAGAAGAGATGGAGAAAAACATAAGGAAAGAGAGACAAAGAAAAGGAAGGAGAGAACAAAATCAAGATGGTAAGGAAAAATATAAAAATAATAACAAAGGACAGAGAAGGAAAATAAAATCCTGGGAAAGAAGCATAATGCTTCTTGAAATATATTAACCAAGTGATTTTACAAAGTGAACATTTATACATGATGTATCTAGTTTCTACTTTTTTTATAGACCTACTGTGCACTAAAGTCACCCTTCAGTGCTTCATCATAGCATAGAGGTGACCCTGTGTTCTTGAAGTCTTCCAACAGAGCATAAGCTCTGCCAAGTCTTACCAAGCAAAAAAAAAATTATATGTGTGTATACACATACATATATACATGTGTGTATACACATACATATATACATGTGTGTCTGTTCTAGCATAGTACTGGCTATCTGTAATCTGAGGACATGAGCCCCTGAACCTATTAACAGGTAAAAAAAAAAAAGATGATTGGAGTAAATAGAAGTATCTATCCTCTTTGGAGATGAAAAAAGGGAAAAGGAACACAGTAATGTTCTTGCGTATTTGAAGGGCTGTCATTCAGAGGAGGGATTAGACTAGTTCAGATTATCCCCCCAGGAGCAGTGGGTAGACGTTGGAAAAAAAAAAGCAAATTTAGCTTAAGGTCAGGAAAAAACTTCCTAACAATTTGAGTTATTCAGAAGAAAAATGGGGCACTTTCAAAAGTGATAGGTTTCCCTTCCTTGAAGGTCTTCAGGAAGAGGCGAGATGACCACTTGTCAATGATGTTGTAGTGAGGGTTCATTTTATTGATGGATTGGAGTAGATGGCCACTGAGGACCTTTCCAGCTCTCAAATTGTGTGATTCTAACCAGGTTAGCAAAGCATGAAATTCATCACCACCTTGGCCCACCAGATCAAAAAATGTTTAACCACAGCATCTCACAAAATCTATCTACCAAGACAGGGAGGAGCTTTCAGTTCGCATCAGTAGAGTCAAGTGAAATTACATATTGTGAAATTACGTATTGTGTGAAATTATAAATCCTTCAAGTATTAAAAGCTGCTGGCCTGCATTTTTCATTCTATAAAAGCAAAAATGAGAACCCAATAGACACTCTGTATACCCACTCTACACCAACATTACCGCATGTCACATCACGGCCCCATGTTCTCACCTAGATGTAAGAAGAAAATGTTAAGTTGCAAAATATGTGGGCCATCACCCAGTCTAGGTTCATTTATTTTAGCATAAGGGATGAATACTATCTTGGGAGGTGGGAAAGGGGGTGCTTACTTTAGTCAGTTCTTTTTCAAATTTCTCTGTGAGAACATTAACTGTGATTTCCAAGTTTTCCACCTTCTGAGCAGGAAAGGATGTGTCTGGCAGCACCATGGAGCAGGTGCAGATTCCGTGGTCATCCATAGAGCCATTGAAATTGGAGAACAGCTAGAAAAACAAATTCAACACATACAGTTCAGAAAAGCTGTCACTGTCAAACTGAATGACAGATCCTCATTTATGAATAGAGTACTCAGAGAGAAGCAGACAAGTGAAGTTAAATACATAAATGAACAGGATTAGAAAAGAATGTAACAGCTACTTCATTTTCAAAAGCGAGAGCTATGTATCAACATAAGCTACGAGCCAAGTTTAGGGGCTAGAGAATTTTTTTTAAATCAATAGCCTGTACTAAAAGAGTGGCATAGTATTTGTGTGAAGAAGTGAATTAGTAGTCCTCAAGGCAGAGTTTTGGGGGGACCGTAAAATTCATACCCATCTCTGTTATTGACCCCCAGTGTGCCCTCAGACAAGTTACATCATCCCTCAGGGTCAGTTTCCCTCACTTATAAAATGACAGACATCACATATCCCTTACAATTCTAAATCCTATGGTCATTATGCACTCTGGGAAACACTGGAGAAAATCCTCCTCCTGTACCCCAGAGAAGGAAAATCAGGATGCTTCCTCCCCATCCAGTAGTCACAACTGACCCAAATGGGTTAGCTCAGTCACTATCACAATGTAGAGGAAATAACAATGGATTTAGGTTTGAATCCTGACTCTGCTCTTTACCAATTGTGTAACTGGGCAAATCGTTTAACTTCGGTGGGACTCCATGTTCTCATTTGTAAAATGCGAAGGTTGGTCTCAATCAGGGCTTCTTAAACTTTTTCCACTCACGACCCCTTTTTGCTCAAGAAATTTTTATGCAACCCCAAGTACATAGGTATATAAAATAGGTATACAAATCAAACATTTACTGATACTAAATCATAAAGAAACTTATTTTAAAACAATTCTGTGGTATACATATAATTTTACTATTTATTAAAGATGAAGGCAAATTTGCATACTAGTAAGATGGATGTGCTTGCTTATTTTTACATAAAGAATTAAATCTTGGTGGAATATTTGATACTGCAGGACATAGAGCATCTTCAATGCTTTTCAGAGTTGATCGATATTTTGATTTTATAATTATCAATGCTGAGAATGCTGCTTTGCATAAATATGTAGTACAAAATGGCAAAGGTATGTTTAGGGCTATTTTAGAAATTGTTGGAAATTCTTTCCTAATCCCAAGCCAAAATTCATTTAATGATTGTGTATGTACAGTAAAAACACTGCAATCATAACATACAATCTCCAATCTGAGCTGAAGTGTTTCTGGCAACATTCATTGGCATTGCATGGTGTGACAGCAAGTACAGTGCAAAGTGAGCATGTCTTGTGTTCAGAACCAAGGCTGCAATGAACGTGGGTGATGCGACATGGGCAAGCACTGTCAGAAGCACCTCAGGTTCATTACACGTTGGATTTTGAATTCATTTTTGGTCATTGCATGTTCAGAAACCTTGTACTGTTGCTAGATTTTTCCCGACCCCCACATTCAGTTACACAGCTCCATGGGGGTCATGACCCACAGTTTAAGAAGTGCTGGACTCTAAATAACCTCTAAGGTCCCTTTGAGCTTAAATCCTTTGATGCTATGACCAAATCCTGACATAAGCTTCTCCCATCCAATTGAGTAGGACATTTTCTTCCTCTCTTAGTAAAATCATTCCCTAGCCAGTCCATTGCTACCTTGGCAAGAAGGAAATAGCTCCTATTTAGACCCACTCCCATCAGCTACAAGTTTCCTGGAGCTCCCATACTTCTAATTATATTTGTTTCTTAAAAAGAAAATGCATACATAACAAGTAACTAGATGACTACCTTTTGGTTGTCTGACCCCCAAATCCCAGGGACAATAAAGTGTGGGCATCTTTGACAAGCCAGGCAAATAAGTTGTAGATTTATAAAAGAGGCTGTTTTTCCAAGGTCAATTTAAACTCCTCAATGTTTGAGAAGAAGAAAAAAAGGTATTTTTCTCTATTGTAGAACTCAATATAACTTGCACAGGTTGAAAGTCAGGAGTCATGGGTTGTAAGGTCAGTTCTACAAATTACTTGCTATATGATCTCAAACAAGTCACTTCATTTCCTTGGGCCCCAATTTCCTTGTCTGTCAAATAAGGAGCTCACACTTTTGTTTAGGTTTGAATCCTGACTACGATGAGCCTTTTGAAAATAGTAGTAAACCTTTTGCCTTTAAATTGTCACTGGGTAGGTGTCAAACATAGTGCTCCCTAAACTTTAAAGATGCCTAGTGTTTCCATCCATCCATTTAGCTATTCATTCATTCATTCATTCATTCATTCCATTCATTCATTCAATTATTCAACACCTTGATCTTTGTAGGTGTTTAGGTCTTGTTTTTAATCAGAGTAGTTTGCAACTTGAAATAAAAAAATGTATCTTAGGACCATTTCCTAGAGAGCTCAAGGTAATTTACATTCCCTGGAGTTCATTCTACAGAATTAGGGCAGCTATTATTTTCTTCATTTTGTACACGGGGAAACAGATACAGAGAGGCTAAATTGCTAATGTTCATATTCGTCCTGACATTCTGGAGACAAAATCGCAATGGTTCTATTTCCCTGTGTCCTTTGTGAATATGGGTCTTATATTTCCTTCCTCACACTTCACCAACTCTACCCCTACCTTCCGGGCCTCCACACCTTGCAATGAAAGACAGAGGGGGAGAATACAGACTAGGCTTCCATCTCCTACACAAGCTGGAAAAATGCTCAGCTAGCACCCTCCTAAAGGGGTGGAGGAGAGCTGAGCCAGCCATGTATTTGTCTATAAAAAATGGTAGAGTGTGTGTGAATCTGAGGGAAACCTGTTTACAGAAAATTCATTTTAAAAAACATATAGTTTCTTTAAGACATCTAGGTTAATACTTAATTGACATTGCATATTTTTCAATGACAGTTTTGCCCTCTTTTGAGCCCCAATTAACATTTTGACTGCTATCACCGACATGATTACTAACCACACAAAGTCAGTCCTAGAAACCCTGCTTCTGACCTGAGCACTCCTTGGACCTTTGCAATGATTTCATCTGCTTGAGTTAACAGGTGCTTTTACTCAGAGCTCAGGGCTCTGAATGGCCTGAATGGCCTCTTTGAGAGTCTGAACAGCAGTGGATTGCAAAGTTTGAAAGGACCTGCTCCCCACAGCTCAAGTCTCAGGAGGTCAGCTGGTTACAGCTGTGATTACACGCTCTGTGTGTTCTATTTCCACCAACCACTGAGACCCCCAAACAAGCTAGAACTAGATGACCCTATAAACTAGACTTAGTCCATCAGGACCTCTGGGCCAATTCAGCTTCCCAGAAATTGAAAGGACATTTTTTCAAAAGTTCTACCCCTCCAGGTTTCTGAGGCAAGCATAAAAGAAAATGCATTATCTAGTACCCTTTAGCTAAAAGTGTAACATTGGACTCAGTCTCCATTCTATGTCCACTATAATAGGGTTGTGGGCATTGAAAGAAAAGCCAGTTTCTGTTGGGGGAAGGGCCAGGAAAAATGAGCTGCTGGTAAGAATCATCTCCCCTATCCCATCCATAGGAAGAGTGGGTCTGTTCCATATGACTCAACTCATAGGACCCTCATCCATGCAGGATCCTGTGATCCTGAAAGAGTAGAAACTTGGCAGACAAGCCACATCCCCTTGGAGCCAGCATTGTATTATTTGTGTAAGCTTGAAAGAAAGACTCAAGTTTAAAGACACTAATACTTTAGCAGTGGGGAATAATATGGCAAGGGATTTTGAAGAAATGACATCATTATAATAATTCCCCAAAAAAGAAAGAAAGGGGAAAAAAAGAAAACTTCAGACATATTTTGACCAAGGGAAGTTAATTAACTGAGCAATAAGGTGTTAGACTGTGCTTTCCCTTCTCTGGGAAGTCCTGTCAACTCAAAAAAAAAAAAACTGTAGACATCAAGAAGACTCAAGACAAACATCTAGGAACTACTGTCTAATGACTATAGTCTTGAAGTAGACCTGAAAGGCATGCAAATAGGACGTTTACCTAGCATCTCCTGCCTAGTACAGTCAGATTGCCGGCTCTGTCTTTGGGCTTGTCATCAGTCCATCGTGCTGCTGACTACAAAGTGGCCCATAAATTTGATCAGTGTCTCCCGGGAGATATATCGCTGCCCTTCAAGTTCAAAGCTGATGATGCTAATGGTAATCGCTTGCTCTCTGTGGCTAGTGCATAAAATTCACTTGAATGGAAAAGCTGAGCTAGAAGTTGAAGGAATGATCTCCTTCCCCTCTGCATTTGGAAAGGCAGGTGATTTGCCCCCTTCCCAAGGGCAAAAGGGAGAATTAGGGGCACCGCATTACAAATATTCCAAAATACTTGAAAAAGGTGGCATAACCTACTGCCAAATTACACAAGATAGAGCAAACAGTGTGGTATGGTGGAAAGAGCCCAAGTTCTGTAGATGGAAGACATGAGTTCACATCCTACTTCTGATGTTTACTAACCAACCTGTGTGACCTTGGACAAGTTCCTTAACTTCCCTCCATCGCATTTTCCTCATCTCTAAAATCAGATCATTGTTCTAGGTGGCCTCTGGGGTCCCTCCCAGATGTAGATTTATGATCCTATGTATTGGAAGAAAATTGTCTAGTTCCATTTACATCCACTATTTAGCCTCTCTGTATCTGTTTCCCCATGTACAAAATGAAGAAAATAATAGCTGCCCTAATTCTGTAGAATGAACTCCAGGGAATGTAAATTACCTTGAGCTCCCTAGGAAATGGTCCTAAGATACATTTTTTTATTTCAAGTTGCAAACTACTCTGATTAAAAACAAGACCTAAACACCTACAAAGATCAAGGTGTTGAATAATTGAATGAATGAATGGAATGAATGAATGAATGAATGAATGAATAGCTAAATGGATGGATGGAAACACTAGGCATCTTTAAAGTTTAGGGAGCACTATGTTTGACACCTACCCAGTGACAATTTAAAGGCAAAAGGTTTACTACTATTTTCAAAAGGCTCATTATACTTGAAAGTCCAAGGCAAGTTACAAGAACCCAGTTTGATGGCTTTGGAAAACTGGGTTTAAAATAGGAATGACACCTAGGTCTTAACAAAGAATAGTTGGGGGATGCCCAAAGATAACATAGATTCAAAAGCTATTTTATCCAGCAGAATAGTTTGCAGCTAGATGACAGGATCATGTATCAGGAGTCTCTGATAACTAATTTATCAGAGAGAGATAAGTAAACTAGAAAGAAAATTAAAAACTCTAAGCACGATGGAACTGCAATTTCTTATCTACATTCAAATCATTATCTCCTTGACATCTCCTCAGCAACCAATCAGCATTTTGGATTCTTCTGTATCCTGACCCACTTCTATCTAGCTAAGGGAGCTGACTTGTGTCTGACCCAAATGCTGATGTCTGATTGGCTGGCGAAGAGGGCTGATGAATGATTCATGTTCACTTTCCCCTACAGAAGAAAAAACAGCAATGAAAGCTAATCATATCCAAAAATATATTAAGGACATGTATTAAAGAAGAGCTTGAATCTGAGTTCGGGCTACTAAGAGTTATTGCCTTGTTTATTATGCTTGCACTTTTAGCCTTGTATGCTTGCTAAAGAAGATGGTCCTTTTAAAAAATAACCACCACCATTCCTATGTATACTCCCTAGAAAAATACAAAGATGCACAAAGAGATCTTGAATCCTTCCAAACCATGGTTTATTAACACAGATGTTTTAGCAATACTTAATATACAAAGAATTCCATTCATTCCTTTATTTCTACAAGGATGTAATCTAACCTGGATTCTTAACCTTTTGCATGTCTTAGACCCAGCATGGCAAAACTTTTGGACCTCTTCTCAGAATAATATTTTATATTCATAAAATAAAACCAATTATATTGAAATATAGTTATCAGAATATTTTTCAAAACAAGCTCAGGGACTTCAAGTTAAGAACCACTTATCTACTCAAGAAACGGCGTGTATTGTTTTAACATCATTGAATTTGGATGTCAGAAGAAATGAGTTCTAAATCCAGCTCTGCTATTTGCTACCTATCTGATTTTAAATAAGTCATTTCATTCCTCTAACTTCAATTATCATGTCTATAAAATAAGAAGCCTGGACTAAAAGATTTCTAAGGGCCCTTCCAATTCTAAATCTCCAGATCTTGGGGATGGAAAACCTGTTTACTGCCCCATTGGCTTTTCTCCATCCCCCCTCCAGTGAGACCCACACAATATGTAGACATGGGTAACTGTTCTTAAACTATGAAAAGTATTTGAGGAGAAAAATTACTACTGTTCCATTCATAGGATAAATTTTTCTAAGCTCCATTAGAAACATACAAAGAACCAGATACAGAGACAGTAAGATCAACTATTACAGTCATCCATTGAATTCTCCCTGATAAGAAAATAAGACTTGGGGACATGAAAACTGTCTTAAAGATATTATATTTGCTCTATTTGGCCCCAGAAGGCAGCACTAGGAGCTGGAAGTTGCAAAGAGGAAAACTTGGCCTGATGTCAAGAAAAACCTTCTAATAAGTGGAGATGTCCCAAAAGGGAATGGGCTGCTTTAAGAGGGGGTGCTACCCTCTCTGAGGATGTCTTTAAGGAGAAGTTAGATGAGCACTTATTAGCTCTCTATGTGAGTTGGACTACATAGCAAGCTCTGAAATCTGTGATTATGTGATTCCTCTCCAAGTTCAATGACTTTAAACCAATGGAGATGTACCAGCACAGAACTCCTACAGAAAGACCCAGTACTCATGGAGAGTTCAAGTCAATAAGAAGTTCTTGTTCTTGTCCTTTTTCCTTTCTTTTCCTCCACCTTACTATATCCCTAAAAGGAGAACTAGGATCTCCCTGTGTCCCCTTGCACTACCCCAACCCTCTAGGAAAGTGAGTTTACAAAGTTTTAAATGCAGCTAGCTCTACAGAAACTGATAAAGGACTGAATTTCAATGAAAATGTGCTTTCAGAAATACATCCTCCAGTTCATTACATGACCTCAGAGTTAGCAGGTCAGATAAGCTCTGTGCCTCAGTTTCTTCCTTTGTACAAATGGAGATAAAGATACCTATAGTGTTTACTTCTACAAGGTTGTTTTGAGGTTCAAAAGAGATAATGATCATAAAGCACTCTGAAAACTTAAAAAGTTTGCAAATTTTAAAGCACTATATAAATATCAATTATTGTTACTAATATTATCAGTTAATAATAGTCTAATCAAAAGGAAAACAAATGATAGTGTAGACAAGATGTTATCATGCATAGAAAGGGTGATGTTATTCTACTTTATTCTACTCTGAGGGGTCTCTGTATCTACTTTCTATTGGGGTCACTTTCGAGCAGCACCTAAGACATGGAATAAATTCTGCCCCCAAATTGCTTGTGTTCCAGCTACAGAGCTGAGACTTGACACCTTTTTCTATAATTATTAGTGAGGAGAAATTATGATTCTTTTATGGGGGCTGCACTATAAGCAAAAGGGGTCAAAATTATTTTGCAAGCCCATAAGACAAGGCAAATATGAATAATTATTGAGACGCTCGGAGAGTAGAAGGAAAGGTATTAGAGTAGATGAGAAAACACAAGGTTAGGATTGAAGGATTCTTCTTACCTCAGAGCGTAGCTGCCCAGTGATGGGAGTAGTCTGCAGGTGCAGGAAGGCTAGCAAGAGAGCTAGACCTTTAGTTTTCATCTTGCCCTCTATGCTGGAGTAGGCAATGTTTAGGGGAAGGTCTATGGAGGCTTTTTATAGTATTCAATGGGAATTTCCCTAAGAGAGAAATTCCTCTAAGCACATGACTTATGGTCACTTCTCACAGAGTGGTACACACACACACACACACACACACACACACACACACACGGATATGTATGACTCATGGTCCCACTTCATAAATTAGCGACATTATACACACCACACCAGAGTCAGTTATCTCCTGCCAATATTAACTTATGCAATCCTTTGAAAAACGCAATATCTGGTTTCCAGACCTGTACATTATTTGAACAAAAAAAAAAATACTGGAGCAAAAGAGTTCCTATGGGTAAGACCCTACCTGAGGCCACATGAAGAAAAGACATTTATCTATCTTTTCTTTTCAGTGCTTTCTTCCCATTGGTGGACATCTGTTACAAAATGGGGTGCAGACACACAATGGGGTTCACCAGTCAGTACCCAGAGATGCCCTCGGTGTTCTATAACTACCATTTCCAAATGACTCAGGGTCCCATGAATACTCACATAATTCGTTCTCCACTGCCAGAGGTGAGGAGAGAGAGCATTCCAAGCATGGGTAATAGCCAGTGCAAAAGCCCAGAGATGGGTGATGAGAGATGGGCGATGAGAGATGGGCGATGAGAGATGGGCGATGAGGCCCATCTGCCTAAATCATAGAGTGTATGGATTGGAATAACATGTAAGAAGGCTGGAAGACAAGATGAAACCAGGTTGTAAAGAGTTTTAAATGCCAAATAGAGGGGTTAATACTTGATTATTCGGAGGTAATAGGGAGCCACTGGAGTTTATTGAGTAGTAAGAGGATGACATGATCAGACTTGAGCTTTAGGTCTTGAGCTTTTGGCAGCTGCATAGTAAAGGCTGGATTACAAAGCACTTTATACACATCATCCCATTTGAGCTTCACAACCACACTGTTGAGGCAAATGCTATCATTAGCCTCATACTATAGATGAGAAAAATAAAGGTAAGTGACCAGGGCATGTGCTTTGACTTGTTCAGGCAGTACTAAAAATAGAATTGCCTCTTCTGACCAGTTCCAAAAGAACTCTAGCAAGAAGAGGAAATTTGTCCTCCCTTTCTTGAATTCCAATCCCTCTCATTCCCATCCCCAATCTCATTGGTACCCTTCCCCCATTTTAGCAGGCCCTACATTTAGGCATCTCTGTCTTCATACCCTTCCTATGCAATGCCTTCCTTGTACCCAATATAATACCGCATTCATTTATTGTTGTTCAGTCATTTCAGTTGTGTCTGATTCTTCATTACCCCATTTGTGGTTTTCTTGGCAAAGATACTGGAATAGTTTGCCATTTCCTTCTCCAGTTCATTTTTTACAGATGAGGTACTGAGGCAAACAGGGTTAAGTGACTCGCCCAGGGTCACACAGCTAGTAAGTATCTGTGGCCAGATGAGTCTTCCTGACTCCAAGCCTGGTACTCTATCCACTGCACCACCTACTTGCCCTATTTATTTATAGATGCAGTTAAAGTTTACAGAATGCTTAACTAACAACTACCCTATGTGGTTGGTAGTACAAATATTGTTGTCCCTATTAATAGATAAGGAAACTGAGGGGTTAAGTAATGGAAAAGGCACTGGATTAGGAGGTAGGAGACCTAGATTTGAGTCATGGTTATGTCACTTACATATTAATTCTTCTTGGCAAGTGCATTTATCTGCCTGGGCCTCATTTGTTTAATTATAAAAACAGAGATAGCACCTTACCTGCCTGAAAATAGGGAGATGATATCTCAAGCTTCCTTTCATCTCTAAGATTCAGGAATATATGATTCCTTTTTAAGTAAAAGAGGGAACAACCCTGGGTCTCTCCATATATTGCCTGCTATCTGAAGGAGAGAGCTGAGCACCCAGAGTCCCCTGCTCAGAGACAAAGTATTACACCCTGAATTTGTTTCTCTTATTCAGGTTGGAGAATAAGTCCTCCCTAAGCGTGGTTGGGAGTGCCTGATCTACCTCCCCATGAAATCCTCCTCTCTCTAGTTCCTTCAATCATTCCTCATATGATATGGACTTTATAAAGGACCCTCATTTTCCTTCCTACCCTCCTCTGGACCCTGTCTATCTTATCAATGCCCTTCTTAAAAGGTGGCACCCAAAACTGAATATAGTATTGTGATACAGTTGGAACAAATCAAAATATAGAGTGGTGACCATTTCCTTATTCTTGGATGTTATGACTCACCTAATGTCATCGAAAGTTGTATTTGGGATTGTTGTTTGGTTGGTTTGGGGTTTTGGGGGGTTTTTTGGCTGCCATATCACATTTTGGGGATGCTTTTAACTCCTATTGAACTTATATTAAAACCCCTATATTTTTATAAGATAAACTTCAGAATGGCCATATTTCTTCCATTTCGTGCATGTGATGTTGATTTTTTTAAGTATAAGACTTTAGCTTTATCCCTATTAAATTTCATCTTATTAGATTTAACTTAGTGCAATAAATCTTTCTTACTTCTCCAGACCTCAATTTCCTCCTCAGTAAAGTGGGGATGATTCTTTGTACCTGATTCTTTGTACCTGTAGGGACTGACCCCGCAGGCTGGTTGTAATTTTTAAATGGTAAATAAATGTAAAGCACTCTGTAAAGGGTTAATAAGATTGAAGTACAGAATGTAAATGTTGGCCATCATCCAAGGAGGAAAAGGGTGGGAATAATGACACCTACATTGACCACCTAAGAGGCTTTTTGTAAGGAGAGTACTTTGTTATACATTAAAGCATTAAGATTCAGGGTATTGTTTTTATGAATAGTGCAACAGTTCTCCCAGTCTCTCCTCCATCTACATACTACACATACATACACATACACAAACACACACACACAATCGTGGCCTGGGAGGAACAATCCTCCCATTAGGCTTATGGTAGTCTCTTCTCTTCTGTTTTTCTTTACAATCTTCAGAATAATACTCTAATTTATTCAGTAGCCATAGAAGCATGAGAGCACTGGTGATGCCTGGATAATGGGATTATTAATAATAATGGTTTGATCAGTCCCTCTGCAGATACCTTTGTTCTGAAGAAACAACAGATCTGCTAGTTATTACCTGACTCAGAGAGGGGAGAAAGTTCTCAGGGATGGAAATCACACAGTGTATGATTTATAAAATATATTCAGAAACTGTGTGTTCCCTCCAGTGTTAAGGGTCACAGTGAGTAATGGGACATCCCACACTTGCATCTTACAGGCTTTTGTTTTCATATCTTCTTTTTTATGGGAACATCCTAAAATTGCATTTCACAAACCATTGTGACATATGGGGAAATAGTTTTTGCCTCATATCAAGCATGATCCTGGAGTATTGACAAAATCAAAAGGAAATAACTCCTTGTACTTTTGGAAGATGTGTGTATGTAAGAGCTGGGTTTGGTGTCACCAACTCCTCAGTTTAGTTCTGTCCCCCAGGCACTCCCAACAACACTTAGGGAGAACTTATTCCCCAACCTGTCCCCCAAAACTCTATATGTCATCAAGCTAGATATATACATACATATATATACATATATATATATATATATATGATTCAATTAAACAAACATTTTTCAAGTGCTCACTATGTTTAAGGCACACACTGGTTCCTGGAGATATAACAATGGAAAATAATGTAGTCCCTGTACCCAAGATGCTTATAACCTAAAGGGAGGGGAGACAGGGAGAATCTAACATATATTTGAATAAATGTGACACAAGGTAGAGCATAAAGGGATATGGCCTATCCCACTGGTATCTAATTTAAAAAGGGACTCCTGAAATCTGTTGTTCTGTGCTCTCTTCAGAGGAAACTTAACTTTTGTATTACTATTATAGGATCACATGATTTAAAAATTTAGAGTTGGAAGAACCTGGAGCCAGAAGGGAGAAGGGAAAAGGAGGGCAACAGGGACATATCAGGTGCCTCCTGCGTGCTGGGCCCTGTGTAAGCACTTTACAGATATCATCACATTTGATCCTCACAACAGCCCTAAGAGATAGGCCCTATTCTTATCCCCACTTTACAGCTGAGGAAACTGAGTCAAGCAGAGGCTAAGTGATTTGCCCAGGGCCACTCAATTATTAAATGTCTGAAGAAAAGGTCTTTCTGATTCCAGGGCCCATGCTCTATCCACTGCACCACCTAGTTGTCTGACAAAGTTTTGTGTTCTAGTTCTTGGGCAAGTTCCTTGACCCTTTTAAGCTTCAGTTTACTTATCTATAAAATATGAGGATATATCTGTGTCATTATTCACGATCATGAACGTTATAATCATATAATTAGAAGCAGATAGAGCTAGATATCAGCATAAATATATGGACATATGCATTTATATTATTTTTTACCCTTCATAATATAGCAGACTCACATTTAAAATTGTGTTGTTTTCAAGTAAATTTTTTCCTTCTATAGCAAAACCATTAATACTGGTCTACTCCCCAGAGTTATTGAGAGGAACAGCTAATAGAAATGATTGGAAGACGTTGTCCAAAATGGGGGGGGTAGTCATAAAAATAGTTATTTTTAAGAAATGGAAAAAATTCAATGTGGAATTGCTGCTCAGTGGTTCAAACCAATGATGCACCCAAGCATATAGAAATGCCTGTTGGCATTTTCCGTACACTCAGACACCCTTCCAAGACAATGAAATAGCTCAGCTTCAACTAAAGTATGTACTTGTGGTGAAAATAGTCAACACCACAGACAACACAGACACCTCACCTGCCATAGGTACTGCCCAGAAACCAAAGACCAATGTTCCCAATATATTCTATGTCGTAAAGTGGGAGAGCACAAGAATTAATGGATAGCTTATTTTTTTGCAGTGGATAAGTGAATTAATTTTTCTAGTTAACCATTATATTTTACTTAGTTTTAGTGGCAGCCAGATTAACTGCAGAAATATTCATCTCCATAGGGCTGTCCATGATAGAAGGCTAGATCTTGGGATGTTGGTCCATAATAAAGAGCAGACGGCCGGAGCTCATC